CCCCCAGAGAGTGGGTGGGCTCATTTGGTGAGATGGTGTAAAAAGAGTGCATTCCAGTTTTCAGCCTCTGTTGTCAATTTAAAATTATTTTAAAATTCTTAATATAAGTATGCAAGAATTTAAAAGTTTCAGAGACTAGTAGCTCTAGAAGGAGATGAAATTATAAGAGACTTTCACCTGGTGTGGTGACACATGCCTGTAATCCCAACACTCTGGAAAGATGAGTCAGGAGGATAACAAGTTTGACCTCAGCCTAGGCAAGTTAGCAACTTAGCAAGACCCTGTCTCAAAAATTTTTTTTTAAAGTCTAGGGATATAGCTCACTGCAAAGGCCCTAGGTTCCATCCCCACTGGTTAAAAAATAATAATTTTTTTTTGGTACCGGGGATCAAACTCGGGTCCTTGCACTTGCACAGCAGGCGATGAAACCACTGAGCTAAATCCTCGGCCCCCCAAAATAATAATTTTTAAAAGAGAAAGAAAACCAGGTGTGGTGGTGCACACCTGTAATCTTGGCACTCAGAAGGCAGAGGCAGGAAGTTCTCTGAGAGTTTGAGGCTGGCCTGAACTATGTAGTGAGAGCCTGTCTCAAAAAATAAATAAACAGGGCCAGGGATGATTTAGCTCAGTGGTTTCGTCACCTGCTGAGCAAGCACCCGGTACCAAATATATATATATATATAAAATAAATAAACAAAAAGTAAAAAGAGAGTGAAAGAGACTTTCTCACATATCTTTCTGTGTTGTTTGACATTTTATAAAAAGTCTGTATTTCTTGCTATTATTTTTAAAAAGCAATGAAGATAATTCTCTTAAAAGCTAATGAAATCTTTAAAAGTGTCTTTTTTTTTTGCTTTTTGCTTTTTGCATTATAAAAGTAAGAGTGTTATTTATAGAATTTGGAAAATTTTGAAAGAAAAGTAAAAGAAAAATCACCTAAAAAATCACCTATAATCTCATTATCTAAAGACAGCTATTGTGAACATCTTGGTATATTTTGTTCTAGTTTTTATTTTAGAATTACACAAGTTATGGAATTAATATGAGAAAATGAAAAAATAGAAACAAAGTCTTTGTAAATAGGGAGGGATGGAGGGATTGAAGGGAGGGCAGGGAATGGGGAAAAAATAAGAACCAAGATGGATTATGTAAAGGTGCAAATTTCCAATGATGAATGTCATATTGTATAACTAAAATATACCAATAAAATTTTAAAAAAAGAATTACACAAGTTAAACATTCTCTTTACACAAGAGTCAGATGGTACACAGTGAAAAATAGAGTATAAGTTAACCAGTTCTTTCTTGTCCCCAAAATGTTTCCCTCACTATCCTTGTCTGCTGGTTCTTCTTGTGTGTGTGTTTATCTTTTTATCTTATTTGTTTTCCTCATGGTACTCAGGATTGAACCCAGTCAGGGCCTTTGCACTGAGCTACAGCTGCAGCTCTTTTTTTTTTTTTTTTTTTACTTTTTTGAGACAGGATCTCACTATTCAGCCCAGGCTGGCCTTGAACTCACTGTGTAGCCCTGGCTGCCCTCAAATTCAAAGCAAACCTCCTGCCTCAGCCTCCTGAGTGTTAGAATTATAGGCATGTGCCACCACACCCAGTTTACTTTTCATTTTGAGACAGGTTCTCCTAAATCCCCAAATTGCCCAGCTGGCCTCAAACTCTTGATCCCCTTGACTTAGCCTCCCAGAGTGCTGGGATTTATCAGCCTGCACCACCACTGCCAGCTGTGTTTTTCAGTGCATACGCACCTGTATATTTCTCTAGTGGTCTCTGGATATTTTCATTCTGTTAAACATTTTTAAAACCATGATTGGATAAATAATATATAATACATAAATAACAAATTAATAGTGTCCAAAATGCTTAGAAACTTTAGCTCAAAAATTTACAAAAGGGGCCGAGGATTTAGCTCAGTGATGCTGTGCCTGCTTCACAAGCACAAGGTCCTGAGTTCGATCCCCGTACCAAAAAAAAAAAAAAATTACAAAAGGATTTAGAATTCAAAAGTTAGCCCTTTGGGCCAGGAATGTAGCTCAGTGGCACGGAATCTGCCTGGCAAGCACAAGGTCCTGAGTTCGATCCCCGTACCAAAAAAAAAAAAAAATTACAAAAGGATTTAGAATTCAAAAGTTAGCCCTTTGGGCCAGGAATGTAGCTCAGTGGCACGGAATCTGCCTGGCAAGCACAAGGTCCTGAGTTTGATCCCCAGTACAAAAAAAGAAAGTCAGCCCTGCTCCCAGACTGCAGCCTCTCCAGCAGCAGCAACACTGCTTCTGGTGCATCATCATTCCAGAGACAGGTTAAACAAGCAAGCCAGAGATGGTGCTTTCTTCTTTCTCTGAAGCACAAAGGGCAGGACACCAACCACTCCCATGCACCTTAATTTGTCCACTTTATTGTTTTCCCCAGGGCCATGGCTGCTCAATGAACTTTCAAGGGAGTCACATTTATCCCCCCCACCGACCCAGTATTGGGGATGGAACCCAGGGCCTTGTACAGGAGAGGCCAGAGCTCTGACACTGAGCCAGTGCCTAACCCCTACCTTTTGTATAATTCTGAGACTGGGCCTCACTGAACTTCACAGGCTCAGGCTGGCCTCAAGCCTTTGATTCTTCTGCCTAAGCCTCCCAAGTTGCTGGGTTTCAAGTGTGTGGCACCACGCCTGGCACACACATACTTTTACATGTTCTAGGTCCCACATTAAAAAAAAAAAAAAAGTTAAGAGGAGTAGGACATGGTGATGTAACTTGGAGAGAGCATATATACC